CCCCAGTGCCTGCCACAGCGACCCAGGGCTGAGCTGGTGCGGGAGACTGTGAAGCCATCAGGGAGCAGCCGCCCCAGAGAGCCCGTGACGGGGTCTGGGGGGCAGCGCACCCCAGGCCATAGCCCAGGGCCTGCGGGGGAGCGGGCAGGGAAGGTCCCTCCGGGCCGCCCGCCTCCAGCCCTCGGCCGGGATGGGCCGCCGCGATGGCTACCTGTCCCTGGAGGTACCAGGGCTGCTCTGGCACCCCATGGGGCCTGGGGGACCTGCTGGTGGCCCTGGTAGCAGCACCCCACTCCCGTCATAGAATGGTTTGGTTTGGAGGGGACCTTAAAGATCATCTGGGTCCAACCGCCCTGCCACCGGCAGGGACAGCTTCCACCAGACCAGGCTGCTCAGAGTCAGGACCCTGAATTTTAGTAAAGCAAAATTCCAGCTCTTCAAGGAGTTAAAGAACAGGACCCCGTGGGAAATGGCCCTCAGGGACAAGGGAGCAGAACAGAGCTGGCAGGTCTTCAAGGACACTTTCCATAGGGAACAAGAGCTCTCGATACCGAGGTGCAGAAAATCAGGCAAGGAAGGGAAGAAGCCGACATGGCTGGGCCATGACCTGCGGGGGCAAGAAGAGATTGCACAGGCAGTGGAAGAAGGGACCGGTACTTGGGAAGAGTACAGGGACGCTGCCTGCTTGTGTAACGATGGGAAAAGGAAGGTCAAGGCTCGGCTGGAGCTGACCCTGGCGAGGGATGTGAAGAGTAATAAGAAGGGCTTCTATAGGTACATTAACCGGAAAAGGAAGGTTAAGGAAAGCGTGCCCGCTCTGATGAGCAGAAGTGGCGAGCTGGTAACAGCAGATGAGGAGGAGGCTGAGGTACTCAACCACTTCTTTGCCTCAGTCTTCACTGGCAACCTCTCTCCTCACCTCCCGGGTCAATGGGCCATTTGGCGGGGATCAGGGGTCAGAGCTCCTCCCACTGTAAGGGGAGATCAGGTTTGCGACCACCTGAGGAACCTGAACGTCCATAAGTCTGTGGGTCCCAATGAGGTGCATCCCAGAGTCCTGAGGGAACTGGCCGATGTAGTTGCCAAGCCACTCTCCATGATATTCAAGAAGTCCTGGCAGTCAGGTGAAGTCCCTGGGGACTGGGAAAAGGGAAATATTGCAGCCATTTTTAAAAAGGGTCGAAAGGAGGGCCCTGGGAGCTCCCGACCTGCCAGCCTCCCCTCTGTGCCTGGGGAGATCAGGGCACAGATCCTCCTAGCAGCTGCGCTAAGGCGCATGGAGGACAGGGGGGTGATTCGGGACAGCCAGCACGGCTTCACCCAGGGCAAGTCCTGCCTGACCAACCTGGTGGCCTGCTGTGACAGAGTGACTGCATCAGTGGGCAAGGGAAGAGCTACGGATGTGTCCTGGTTTCAGCTGGGATAGAGTTAATTTTCTTCTTAGTGGCTGGTAGAGTGCTGTGTTTTGGATTCAGGATGAGAATAATGTGATAACACACTGACGGTTTGGTTGTTGCTGAGGAGAGCTTACACCAGTCACGGACTTTTCAGCTTCCCCTGCTCTGCCCGGTGCACAAGGAGCTGGGAGGGGGCACAGCCGGGGGGGCCGACCCAGGCTGGCCCAAGGGCTATGCCATACCATAGGGCGTCATGCCCAGTATAGGAACTGGGGGAAGAAGAAGGAAGGGGGGGATGTTCGGAGCGATGGCGTTTGTCTTCCCAAGTCACCGTTACGCGTGATGGAGCCCTGCATTCCTGGGGATGGCTGA